TCGCTATTAGGTTGGAGGCCATCGCTATTAGGTTGGAGGCCATCGCTTCGAGGTTGGAGGCCATCGCTTCGAGGTTGGAGGCCACTGCTAGTAGGTTGGAGGCCGTTGCTAGTAGGTTGGAAGCCAGTGCTAGTAGGTTGGATGCCGTTGCTATTAGGTTGGAGGCCATCGCTTCCAGGTTGGAGGCGATTGCTATCAATTAAGTTGGAGGCCATTGCTATTACTGAGGTTGGAGGCCAATGCTTTTGGGTTGGAGGCCATCGCTATTAGGTTCGAGGCCATCCTTGGCCATCGCTTCCAGGTTGGAGGCCATTGCTATTAGGGTGAAGGCCATGGATTCAAGGTTGGAGGCCATCGCTTCTAAGTGGGAGGCTATCGGTATTAGGTTACCAGTTTTCCACATGGTGCGCACGGGGTTTCATAGGCCCCTTCGCAAGTCCGAGCTCCCCTGATCCACGCATTTTCTTGTGCATTTTAACTTCTCATCTACATCCTGCGACATTACATTGGGAAAGAATAAAAGAATAATACAATATCTGAAAACTATTTTTTTTACCTTTTGTGTACTATTTTCTTGGTTCTGCCATCCAAGGTCTTGCTCTTTTTGTCGACTCACTTGGCCTTAGACTCTGACTCCCAGTCCCTCTTCAACTACTCTGGTGTATCTTCAAATCCAGTTCAGGCCGAGCCATGGCTTTGGTCCGCGTGTGTTTGGTACATACTTGGAGCCCCTAGTAGTGTCCTTGCTCCTAGTATTTTCGGTTGTTTTGGGGTTGTTGGAAAATTATGTATCATCGAGATAGGCCATATGGGCCGCATATGGCCGCATTACTTTTCTCCATTCACCTTTCATCACAATTCCTATTGTTCAATGACTTTGACATTGTTTGTTATTGAGAGTGTTTCGTTGGTTGGTCACCTGCGTCAGCTTGGTGAGTTGCCATGTGCTCCAACGGCAGGTGCTCAACGTTCCCATTTATCCTAGCGCCGAAGGCCGTTGGCAGTCGAGCGGGTAAAGGGAAACTCCACAAGCTCATGACACGAGGAACTACAGTAGCCGCTTAGTCTTTATCAGTCTTCTGATTCTAGTCTTCGAAGCAATTTAGCGGGCACGTACCCAAGTGATGATGAAGCCATGAAGCCTAAAGGTATTCATGTGTGCAGCAGATGGGTGGCCATCCTTCGGGTTTGGAGTTTTAGTCTCGACATGTCTGGACATTGATCCTGAGCCACCAGATAGAGAATCAGTACAATACACAGTCAGCACCTATTATTGACAAGCGCCTTTTTTGTTAAACCACCTTGGAGGCTTGTCCCGAAACTCCCCTTGGTTTTCGAGCCGGCAGAAGCCTACTCGGTCAACCCCTCTGACTGGCAGAGCATCAAGCGTTCTTTAGGCGTCTCCGATGCGTCCATTTGCAGTTGGGCGATGGAGGAGACGTCCTTGCTCCATGTGCCAAGCTCACTTCTGTACCAGGTGTGTTTTCTGTACTTGTTCAATGACTCGTATGGGCAATGCCAGAAAGCCAGAAGGAAATTTTCCCGGACAAGTCACCCATGGCATTGATGGACGGCATTTGTAGCAAGAAGCTTCTAAACGCGTGGCACATTCCACCATTCAGTCAAAGCGTGGTCAGGACGATGGCTTAACGCGCTTCAACGTACAGAGTGCATCGCAAAGCTTCATGTGGCGTTTGTCCAGGACAGTGAAGTGCTCAGGATGGGCCAACAGAAGTGATTTCCTCTCTTTTTGGGTGGTACTGTATGTTTTGTGTCCCTCACTCACACTCGTTTCATGTGTTTTTTCCTGGGGCGAGGGAGTCGCTTCGGAACGCAGAAAATAGTTCGCTTCGGAACGCGGGAACGGTATCGCTTCGGAACGCGTGTCAGAGCTAGTAGGTTGGAGGCCATCGCTACGACTAGTCTGCACTGTCTGATTGCTAACTGCAACCCACCCCACCCCCCACCCCCCACCCCCCACCCC